TTTAATTTCAGTAAGTCTTTGATTTATGAAAGTTAAGCAACATTTAATTTTAATTTAAGAAATCTTAACAACCCTCGTTTTGATCTTTTTTTTTAGTTTTTCAATTTTGCTTCCAATCCATCAAAATGTCCACCGCATTGAAGCAGTAATATCCAAAAATGAAATCATGCACAAAGCGATGTACGTGCCTGAAGACCCGGGAATGACGACAAAGTTTTCAGTGAATATGATCGATTTGTCATTTCATTTGGGATATACACTTTTTTAAATATGATCGATTTTCAAAATGATAAGATTTTGAATTAAATGATTAAATTTAAATGCAAAAGAAATTATGTGATACATAACTATGAACATTTGTGCATGCATGCAGATTCGTTACTAGTACTACCGAAGAAATGTGCAATGAGGCACGGTTCTGTTTTTTTTCTGTCGGTAAAATTGAAGTTGATTTTAATGATCGAAAATTTATTCAAGCAGATATTGCAGTTTAAGTTATTTTCTATAATATGAGGTGGACAACAAAGCACAAATTGTATTTCGTTTAATAAAATGTCCTTGCGATTCAGAAACGTGTCCGTAGACTATAAAACTTTTAAGGACCCCTCTCTGCGACGACCTATAGATTTAAGTGTGTCCGTCCGAAATCTCTTTTAAAGGATGTGCAATGACCTTGAACTATGTTTCAAGGTCTAAGGTTAAGGTCATAACTGAATTGTATATGAAAAATCTTTGTCTGCAGCACATCTTTTCACCCCTTGATCCAGTCTGGTTCATACTTCCACAGAGTGTCTGTTGTCATACGGCGTGCAGTGACCTTGAATATTTTTCATTTGCTTAATCTTGTTCAGAACAAAAAATAAATGGCTTTAGGTAAGGAGTAATGAGCCTGAAATAAAAGTTTTATGCCAAGTGGACAATTTATGAGTTATAGGTCAAGGTCAAAGCAAAATTCTCTGAAATGCTTTTCATCCTATTGTCCATTACTTGAGTGGGGCCCTATGTGATGGTAGACATCTCAATGATTCATGAATTCAGTGAAGTTCTACATGCAACAGTTTAAGAATAAAAGGTATGAAGTGCAGTTAACTAATTTAATATTTTAAACAATAAAAATGGGAATATAAGATGTGAGAAAAATCGTAACAATGTCCTTTTTAATGTCAAGTAGGTATGCTCTGAATGAGGGAGAAGAGATCTAGAGCTTTTAATTACAGGTGCATTACCTATGACAACTTCATTAAGGAGGCTGGGGAGTCAAAAAATTAACCATCATATATAACTTATTTTTTTAGATACGATATCTTTAGCTTTCAACTATCATTTGGCAATCAAAAATTTCATACATTTTAGTTTAAAAATTTAAACATTTTTGTATATCTTTATATTGAGCTCTTCTTCTAAAGAAGATCAATATAGTCTGGAAATGGCCACAACCACCCAGCCCTCTTAAAAGGGAACAATTCTTTTTTACCATGAATTAAAAGTTTGGCCTAGTTATCAAAAAACAGAAAACTGCTGACCAAATGCATTCGTTATTCCATAGGAAAATAAACTTTTGTCCTCTTACTTCAACACTCAACAGTAATCATAACAATTTTCTGAATTTATTATGATTTTTGACCTTGACAGTTAAAGCAGATTTAAAAAAAACAATTACATATATTATGTACTATTTATATTTATACTTTACTAGTAATAAACATTTGCAATTAAATACACAAAGCCTGGCAAACATACAATTTCTCATTCCTTTATCAAACAATATTCGGAACATAGAGAAAAATGTACCTCCTTAAAACGACAAGAGTCAAATAAATGTATGTCGATATATGTAATTTATAAGCGATCTACACGGTCTGTTATTCGGATAAAGAGTTCTGTTGCTTCTTCTACTGTGTTTGGTGGGTAATTCAACCCGTTTTCCATTCTTATTTGAGTACCAGTAACTTCAAATTCCATTGAAACACCATTTGCAGGAGGGTAGGCACAATATTCTTGTTCTATGCCATTCAGATTATCAGGTACAGGCATTTTGAAATCTCTTGTTTGGTAAATTTCGGGCTGAAAATACATTACATCTGGTTTTCCAAACGGACAATCTGCATTGTGGTTTCTTCTAATTGTGTGTTCATTCCAATGTTGTATAACTCTGTTCATTTCTCTGGTGATAATTGGTAAGAAACAATACCTAGCACACTTCAGGTGGACTATGTCGGAGGTGTCAAAAACACCTAAATTATCCATATCCTTAAAGTAATTTATCCAAAAATTGCCACACATTTCTCGTAAACACCGCCAAAATCGCTCTATTCTTGTATTTCTATATGACGATCCATACCTAAAACTTGATAGTCCTTACAAGGGATCCTGGTGATTCCATCGCAAAGCGTATTGCAAATCTCGAACTATGGAGTTCTCAGTACCCCTGTCTGCGTATACGACTACAGGAACCACGTTTATTTCTTTGATATAATTTATATAAAATCTGGATATTTACTTAGGGTTTTTGTTAGAATTGCAAGCTCTGAGCCAGAGAATACGTCTTGAAAAGCCATCTACACAGCAGTGAATGGAAATTCCGAATGGTTTTAACTTGTCCCAGCCATCTAGATGAACACAAAAATTCGGCCCTTCGTTAATGTACCTTCTACGCTGAAGACGACGTTGTCTACGCCTTATTACACCTTCTGCGTCCAAAACAGTTAATGCAAGGTGCACCAATTCACAAGACACATTGAGGTTATGGTCGATTAGCAGACTCCTCCTCATTCCTCTATAGCCTACGTCACCGCCCGAGCCTGAAAGTTCATGTAGAATAGCCGTTACAATGTCCTCCAAACGTGGCTGGTTGTTTCGTCTCGTCAGATTCATTTCCCATAAAACTTGATGAATTTGTCTTGCACTAAGAGTAATGTTATGTCTGGTTGCAAGAAATCCAATGATTTCCTGAATAGTATAACCAGAGTGGTAATAAACAGCAATCATTTCATTCCTGCTGAGAGGTAGTCCGTCCACAACCAAACGTTGAGCCAGAGCAGGTGTATAGATATTTTCACCCATTGTATTTTTGTCGCTGAAAAAAATGGGAAAAAATACTTTATACACAATGAATTTTTGTTTTGCTTTCTACGTGTGTAAATTTACATCAAACTAAATCATTCTATAAATACACCACGATTTGGATTGTAAGAGTCTATCATATTAAAATAAATTGCAGTTCAAAAAAACTTATGTAAGATAGCATTGAGGGAGCAGGGGGCCCGGGCTCCCCCTTTTGTGTCCGAAATACACATAAGATTTAATAAATCAATTTTTTGGTGTGGTCGTGGACCCATACCCCGACCAAACTTGTTGGGGCCCCCTTTTTTTCAAGATTCCTGGATTCACCACTGAAGATAGTGGAAAACTAAAAGTATTATGTTTGATCAAATAATAGCAACATGAAGTACACATATTATTTAAGAAATGGGCACTCTCACCAAAAGAGATATTGACATCAAGAATTACTATCAGTAAGGATTATACAAATTACCAGATTAATCAACCAAAAGATCGTCATTACATCCAATATCAGTTTTATATCAGATCTGAAACAAAGTTTTACCTTGTCAGTTGTGAAGAGACCAGATGAACGTTCAGAGGTTAAGCTTCTCATTCACTGCAACCACAGATTTTGATTAAACTGCACTCTTTTTTTTCAAACAAACAGCATGCCATCATAAATAAGTTGCATGTCGACATAAATATATTGCATGTTTACATGAATATGTTGCATGTTTACATAAATAAGTTGCATGTTAACATTTTCATCTTGCATGTTAACATATTCATCTTGCATGTCAACATAAATAAGTTGCATGTCAACATAACTAAGTTGCATGTCAACATGAATAAGTTGCATGTCAACATATTTATGTTGCATGTCAACATAACTAAGTTGCTTGTCAACATAAATATGTTGCATGTAAACATAAATAAGTTGCATGTCAACATAAATAAGTTGCATGTCAACATATTTATTTTGCATGTTAACATAAATTGCATATTAACATAAATAAGTAGCATCTAGCATGTTGGATGTCACATGTGGGCGATATTTGAGATTTTTGAGGATTTTTTATAATTTTTATTTGATTGCAAATTTCTTGCATGTCAACATATTTATATTGCATGTTGACATAACTATCTTGCATGTCGACATATTTGATAGAAAAATTACTTGCACACAAGGGGCAAAAATATGCCACCATAAGAAATGATTCTAAGTTATGGAGTTATGGGGTGCACAAAGGTCACAGGAAGGTCACAAAATATTCCTTTTTGATGTTAAATTTTCATCTATTTTATAACACATTCTATTTCAGAAATGACAGAGCATAAGCTAGTCTATCTACCAAATTTATGTCTCTGAACTGATGCTTTTTAAATCTAAAAATCTCAGATAGGCAAGCTTGTGCTTCCAAAATGAAAACCTATCTCAAATTTGACATATTCTATCAGAATTGAGAAAAATGCCCAACTTTGGCATCCTTTGTGTTCTCTCTGTACTCTTTCAATCAAAATCATTGCTGGTTAAAAAACAAATATTTAAAGTTCATAACTGCAAACTTTCGCAAATTATAACTGTGTTTTGATTTTTACATCAATTGAGGGGCCAATTTTGGCTGTTTCGATACCTTGTCTTTTTGTCAAAAGATCCTAAAGCAAAAAATCATTATCATTATTTATAAAAATAAGGCAGTGCAAAAGTATTCTGGAATTAATGTATTCTCTTTTTTTAGAATAAATAAGAAAGGACAAACTTTTCAGAAATGTAGGTTTAATTGTTTACGTAAAATGCTAGTATGATATGTAGTATTATCTAAATGATCAGACAATTGGTTTCTACATTTTTAAAACCTTTCTTTCTTATTAACCTCTTTACCACTGTGAACAAAATCATTTTAAGCAGTGGATAATTCAAGGGTAATGATATTTTTGTTCTTTCTATCAAGTAGACGTAAAAAAAGATTCTCACAGAATGAAAAGGGAAGCTGAAGAAAATGGAATTAATGCTGGTAAAATGATAGAAAATTCTCAACAGAGCAAAAATGAAGGCATTCAAATGGTAGGAGTTGGTGCAGCTATAGGAAGTGTTTTAGGTCCAGTTGGAACTGTTGTCGGAGGAATAGTTGGAGGAATTTTCTGCATATTTTTATGTCATCACGGTAGGTCTTTATGAATGCATGTTCCATAAACCTTTTAAGATCTGTTAGCTCTTATTCACAAAATTACCACTAGTCTTTACAAAAGGACCATGATTATCAAACCAAAGTTATTCTTTAAAATGTGATATTTCTCTTTAAGTTGTGAGATATCTCTATTTTTAAGAGATATCTTTTACATAAAAGATATATGTAATTTTATTAGATAAATTTTATTTTTCGAATAGATAGCAAAAGGGTTTGCCATAGAAAGGTTATCCAACCGGGTTCAAATAATTATTTATAATATTTCAAATTTTCTAGAATATTAAGTACTTTAAGTCGTGCATATTTTTTTTCTACAAAACGTGTTACTATATACATGGTCGATATTAACGTGATTTTGGCTTTTTACATCTATTACTACGTGATGTCATATACTTCATGGTTAAAAAAATTTAAAAAAAAACAATTTCAGTGCAAAGTAGCCAAGATTTAGCTTTGGCCAATTTTGCTTTTTACAATTTTCTCTACTATCTCTCAATCAAAAATATTGTGCATATTTTGTTACCCTACCTGCGTTTCTCTTTCCTTTCAGTATATAAAGGTTCTCAATGTAACATAATTTATTACTGAAAATACTAAAAATTAATGTAATATGACAACATATGAATTTATTAATATATTAATTTACATATAATTTAGATAATCGACCACCACCCAATCAAATGCCGAAGTTTACTTTCTGTCCAAAAAGCGGAGATGAAATATTTGCCGATGATGGACAAGACGCAAAAATATATTCCTGGACTCTACCAAAAGCAGCAGATCCAGAAGATGGAAATTTAGAGTGATTGTCTAATTAATTACAACCAAATAGATATATCTCAAATATATTGAAATAAAAATGAATTTATTGACGTGCATTATTAAGAATGTTTCTGTCACACTACAGGGTACATTTAAGGCAAGGGAGTCCTCCCGGAAAAAAGTTTCCTCGTGGAGAACACACGATTATATATGAAGCAACGGATAAGAACGGTGCTCTGGCATCTTGCTATTTCAGCTTTACCGTGAAAGGTAATCTTAAGGGCCTTTCGGATTCTTTGTATGAATTTTTTTTCAAAACTATTAAGGTCATATGCAACGTATTTGGGACTTTATTGGGTTCTTTGGAGTTGAAGAGTTCCACTAAAGAGAGGATCTGTGTGCAATGTTTTATGTTTTTAATGTCTATATATGGATTTGTACACCTCATCTAAAACAATTTTTGAGGAAAAATAGGAATTTATGTTTTGTACCTTTTTCTTTGAATAATGCAAAACGTTTCAAAATTTGATATCTTTTCAAAACCCTTGGTAACGCATGCTGATTTTTAAGTCTAAAAACATGTAGTGGTATTATAAGTTTCAATTTAGAATGTCTTGAAAAATTATCAGTAGGTATGGTACCTGCGTATGTCCTTAATTTATTCATCAAACAAAGAATAGTCAAAGAAAGGATAAGTAAGGTTTAACTATCATTAATTTTATACCTATTAGTTTTGACATGTGAGTTTCCTCAATGGCCCTTGAACGGCTTCATTCGATGCAACAAACCAGAAATAACAGCAGGTACAACATGCAGAGTTGGTTGCTATCCTGGATTCCAAATGGCTCCTAATACACCAGAAATAAAGTGTGTGTCAGCAAACAAAAAAGCTTCTTTTGATGCAACTGTTCCCTCGTGTCAAGGTTCGCATTTTTTTTGTTTGATAGATTTGATTCTGATCAATGAAGCTTATGCAGAATTTGTGAATGATTTGCAAATATGAAATTTACAGAAATAACTTGTCCGGTAAATGTGACAGAAATGAAACCGCAACACGGCATGGCTTTGTGTACCAACAATCGTCATAAATATGACAGTGCTTGTACCACACAGTGCGAAAAGGGATACAGTCTAACGACAATGATGCTTTCTGTGTGTCAAAAAGATAGAACATGGTCCACTAAACTACCGGATTGCGAAGGCAAGTCTCCAATCACTTATTTTATTTGCCCCTGTATAAATATTTTTTTGGTAAAAAAGTGCAACTTAGTTTCAAAGAAACTTCTATAGTTTTTATTTAATTTATTTAAAACTAGATGTTTTCAATACGCTATTGTTTTTCAAACATCTAATAATATCCCATTGGAGGTCACGTCAGATTGTATTTTTAAAAAAACTTCATATGCTAATACATATTGATTTGAGCTTTTCAACTGCTTCAACAATTTTTGACAATGACAGTTTCTTTGACCTCACTATTTTAAATAAGTGTTTAGCCCAGTTTCAAACAAACCATTCAAGATCGTGTTATCAAATATCATATGCTGATATATACTGATGTAAGCTATTAAACTGCATGAACATTGACTGACCTTGATCCCACTTTCATATATTAGTTTTTCTAAGTTTTAAAGTACTCAATCAAGACAATGTTAGCAACGTCATTTGCTGATACTATTCAAATGCATCAATATTTTGTATCTTGACTTTTGACATTGACCGTACTTTTCTTAAATTTCTAGTAGTGTTCAGCACAGTTAAAATAGAAACCTTTAATTCTACAATAGTTCTTATATTTTTTTTTACACCATCGATTGCTTTGATTATTTTTAGGTAACATATTTATGAACATAAAATAACAATAAGTGTAGATATAAAATCCTAACTAAAATACGCTAGGTTCAAGACATATGTTGTTTATTAAGTTAATTTTTAATAGACTCAGATCCGCCAGAAATTAAAAGATGTCCTAGCACTATTTACGCCTATACAGATCGTAATAGAAAAAGTGCAACCGTCACTTGGAAGGAACCAACAGTTGTTGACAACTCGAACAAAACAACACTTGAGCGCACAGTTGGACTAGCACCCGGATCCACTTTCAGAGTTGGATTGACAGAAATACGATACAAGGCCACAGACGCTAGTGGGAATGAGTCTCCAGAATGTATTTTCTTTGTCGCAGTAGAAGGTGATTGTATGATTTAATTGCTGACAATAAAAAAAGACAATAATTTTAATAATGCTTAGTATATGATGTTAAAAAGTCAAGGCAGTTAAGATATGGTGTCTGGATTAAGGAATGTTGGATGATTTTTATATCAGCTGTATATACATAAGTAAGCGCGTGGGTTCAAAACAGACCGTTTACGCAGACCTTAATTCATTTGAAATAAGATTAACAAATAACATCCCTCAATGCCATGCTTACACATGGATATGTGTTTTGGTACACATACATAAAAAAATCTTGTGAATCCTTGATATGTAAAACTTGATGAAAAATCAATTTTCCAAACATCCTGCACGTTAAATATAATATATTTTATGTCAGATAAATTGCTGACATTATACATGTTTTGCAAGATATATAGTGAGGGAGACATGAAGATTTCTTTATCAAGAAAAATAATATTTTCCTAGGGAAATACTGTTTTTAAATGAAATTTTCATGTCTCTCCAACATGCAAAATAAAATATGCATTTGGAGATACGCACGTTTGATTTGAAAATAGAAAAAAAAATATTTTAAGATAAGTAAAAATATTTGAAGATATGTTGATAATTTTGCGTTCCAACAATTTATCAGTCAATATCAATTATCGGTTTTAAACAATGGACATATGTACATGTGTAGTGCAAAATGAAAGTTCTGTTATTTGTAGAATTGAGGTGTGCTCCACCATTAATAATAGACAAATACATGTTATACCAGTGTCCAGATGGGTTTACCTATGGAGCCAAGTGCCATCTTCACTGCATGGGCAGATTTCCTCTGGTAGGAAATGAAACAATTGTATGTGAGAAAAATTCGACTACTGTCCAACCATACGGCTACTGGGACAAAGGCGGAGTTGAGCCCTACTGCAAACGTTAGTTTTTTTTCCCAAGATATATTGTATACTAGAGATTCCAGAAAACATAGATAAATCTTAATGAATTCATATACTAGCATACATTGTAATGAGAGGGAAATTTTCATCATCTTATCCCATCCAAAGACTTTACAACTACGTATACAATTATTTGTATCGTCAATATTTTATTTTTAAAAGATGTTTTCACAAAATTAAATAAAACAAAAAACCTGACAGTGTCATCCTTTCAAAAACAAATTTTGATATTTAAGCATCCTTCGAAAATTCGTCGAAAAAGATTTAAATATGCATGTGCTAACAAGCCATTTGTTTAGTTTTTCTGTTGCATGTAAGGTATACCTTGTCGAGACTTACCAGCTCCCATTAATGGAGCAATGTCCTGCGATACGTGGATGTTTGGACGTCAGTGCCAAATGCAGTGCTCTGACAAGTATGACATACCTGCATTGGGCTCCAGTACATTTAATGGGGTGTTCACATGTTCAGAAAAGCAAGGGGTTTTTATGCCCAGTAATACTGTTCCAAATTGCACTGGTGAGACTGTTTATTATAGAGTAGCATGTTCTCCATCTTTAACAAACTTTCATCTATTTTCATGATTTCATTTTAATGAGCACAGTTTTATATTTTGACTTGAAAATTTGATGAATTTTTCTAGAGCTTAGACTTCCAGGACATATAGAAACGCTTGGTGAGTTTTTCTATTACACCGGAAGTTGTGGTGATGGAAAGGTAATGGAGCAAATCAAAAGCAATTTCATAAAGCAGATGGAATTTCTTGAGAAAAACGGATTTGCTGGTGTTTGCTCTGACTCCAATGAGTGTAACGTTGGCAATGTCTCCGTAACTTGTGGACCAAGTTCCTCAAGAAAACGAAGAGCTGTAGATTTTGAGGAAAACGTCGACCGTTTAAGAAGATCGGGCAGTGAAATACGTGTAGAAATAAAATTATCTTCTGTTTGGAAAAATTCCAATTCAACAAGAGCCGATTCCCTACAGTTTGCTAAACAAATTCAAAAGAAAATGTTTGACAAAGTACAAGAACTCGGCAATGATGGAAAGTTAACAGTGAATGGAATCGCCCCAGATTCTGGAAGTTTTGTTCTTGGCTTTACCGCTCCAGTGTGCCCCCCGGGATTAGCTATTCGTTTGACAACTCTAACTTGTGGTTCGTTGCAATATATAATAATATTATACATGTATATTAAGATAAGCTTAAAATCTCCAGCTGCTTAGTAAAGACTGATAAAAAAATCACTTTTTCCAGCTCCCTGTGCAAAGGGATCATACTTAACTGAAGACCACAGAAAAAGACCGGTTTGCACGTCTTGCCCAAAAGGATTCTTTAAAGAGGACGAATTTGAGTTGCAATGTGCAAAATGTCCAGAGGGCACAGGCACAGTTGAAGAAGGAAGCACGTATTCAACAGACTGCATAGGTAAATAAGATAGTGAACATATTTATATATTTTTTTAAAATTATATATTTATGAATTCGATAAAACTAAAGTCAAGTCGTAGAGATATCAAAAATATGAAATCCATAAAAAGCAAATGGAATTTTATTTACTTAACTTGTTAAAAATTGTTAAGTGGAATGATATTTGTTCCTTTTTTCTGTCTTTGAATTATTCTATTTATACGAAGTTTTTTTTTTATTTTAAGACACATGTCAACCTGGAGAATACTCCGAAACTGGACTATTTCCTTGCACGCCTTGTGAAAAATCCTCGTTTCAAAATGCATCGATGTCAACAAGTTGTGTTCAGTGTCCAACAGACTTGACAACGGCATTTAGAGGAAGCACAGATGAATATAACTGCACCAGTATGTCAAGAAATTAAAAGAAAATCGTATTATTAATTTTTTATTGAAACATTTGCAATTAATAAAAGAAAATTGTAACAAAATTTGTTTTTCTCAGATTTTGATGTATTATTAAAACAACGTGGAAGTAGGATTGACGTTAAAAAGCCGTCTAAGTCAACTGCGCCTCTTGGCATAACTATAATGACTTGGCTGAAATCACCATCAAGTAATATAGACCTCACACTGTATCATTCCCGAAGTTTAGGCATAAGAATTCAAGACAAAATCATCATGGAGAAAGCGTCTTTAAGGTACGATGTAACAAATATATTATATATTTTTAATGCAATTTGATTAAACCTTATCTGTTATCATGAACAAATTTATTAAAAATGCAAAATTATATTGCAAATTCAATTGTTTCTTTTTCTTACTCTGGATTTTTATTGTGTGTGTTTGTGTGTTGTTTTGTTTTTTTTTTTTGTTTGTTGTAGTTGTTCTATCAGTGTTGTTACTTAGAAGTGAAGAAAATTATAGAAATATATATCAGAATTTATTATATTAAAATTTACAGCTTGGCAAAAGATCATTTCATCACTAGGATTTGGAATCAAATAACAATGCCACATTCCTTTGAAGTGTAAAACTTTCTTTTATGACTGTTATGCATTATGGATTCTCTACACACTAGTTTAGAAGATTTTTGACATTGAAAAAATATATTATAAAAAGTGAAAATATTGAGCGTGTTCATTTAATGTTCAATATATGGCACTTGACATTTACCCCTGAGAGAAATGTTAAAAGGCAATAATATATCAATAAAGAGATTTGGCTGTTGCTAACTTCTGTTGAGAATTCGAAAATACACTGTAAATGCATTTTAAGTGTTAAATATATTTATATACTAGCATCTTACCTTTATAAAATGATGAGAGTGCTTGAATTGATTACAAATTGTTTATTGTACGGAAGAGATTTCAATTTATTGAAATGTAGATCTTAGAATGGACTACTCTAAATGCAGGAAAATGCTACTGAAACAAAGTTTAAGTATGAACGTAGATATGAATTTTTAGGTCCATACTTGACTGACAAAGTGTTTGTAATAAGTGTATCAACGAAACTACTCTATTATATAGCAGAGTTAAAAACAAATACTAAATCATAAATAGTCAAACATGTACCTTCAAAAGTAACTTTTAATCATGGAATGTGACCAGATATTGAATCAAAGTCATTCAGACAAGTAAAAAAATTAAAAGTATTTTTAACTTTTTACAGGGACATCAGATTATATTGGTAAAAAAGAGCATCCTTGACACAATTTTGCTGATAATATGTGAAAAAAATGTACAAGAGTATAATATTATATCATTAGGATAAAGTTAAAGTCGTACGGGTCTGAAGTGTTGCTTCCTTGTTTTGGTTTTAACTTATTGCTACAGACTAGACAAATATATCAGTCTGGAGCAATAAGGACCGTTCTTAAGAATAGTTCTTAAAATCTTAATTTTAGAGTTTAATTTGTAAGTTAGATTTTACTGTCCCTATTTTTTAAATTTTTTTAAGGACATTATAGTTTTCTATTATTATCAGAAACTGGATAGCCACAGACGTATCGTTACAAAATGGTACATGGGTACATATTGCAATAGTCATACAGAAAACTCAGCCTGTTGCAACTGTGTTTATAAATGGTAAAGAAGAATTTGCCTCCCAGGGTGGCTTCTCTATTTCTGATGCCGACATACAATCAGGATTAGAAGACGTTAACATACTTCTCAATTCAAACACAGAATCAGGTGAGTATACTTAGTTTATAAAAAATATGAAAATCTAGAAACCAACATAAATTTACTTTATCAATATAATAATGATATTTTGCTTGGTAGGTGTTTCCCTGTCTGGGTATCAAGTCGTGTCTCAACCATTACCCAGCGGACAAATTATCCAATCAGCCAAGACATGTCATGCCAAGTCAGCCACATCATTCATCAGTATGGAGGATATGAAAAATTTAACTAAGGGAGATGTAGAAATTATAGTTCCAAGTCAATGCGATGGTAAATATTTACTCTATTATGAAAGTAGCTTATATTATCATGTCATTACAAAATACTAGTAGGTAGTAAAAAAAAAATATTTGGATATATCATTATTATTTACTTGAAATGAGAAACAAAGAGAGGGTATAAAATTAGATCCCCTTTAAGAAAGGATTAACAATTGAAATCAATATAGCAGTGTGACTTTCTGTCTGTCCTTTATTTACTTGTTTTTCTGTATATCTGTTTGGTCATACCTTTTGAACACTTGCTGATATGGCTTTCATATTTCACACATAGATATGCATTCCTCCTGTGCCAGTCTCCTGACCTGGGGGCAATAAAACTTAGACAAGCTTATGTTGATCTCAGTCTCACTAAAACCAAAGGAAAATATATTGTGGAAAAGTGAGACTAAGATCAAAAGTGAGCTCATCTAAGTTTTATGGCTCCCCAGGCCTGATCTCCTGAAATTGTTCTTCAAAAACTGTCATACTTTTCTAAAACGACAATCTTGTTAGTAATATTTGAACGTTTGGCACTAGAGCTTGCTTTCACGTTGGCATTGTAAGAAGATCTTTAAATATAAATTGGTACCAATGTTTTGACGTCATGACTCTGATCTTTAAGTTTTACCTTCTTTTGGTAATACTTCCACATTAACCATAACCTTTGAACTGTTGGAACTGTGGCTGTCAAATTCCACATGCGTATTTCTTGTAACAAGCCATTTTTACAGTTTCAAAATATTTAAAATTATCATGACCTTTACCCTTATGTTTCTCCAACTGATTAAAAAAAGTATGACTTATGAACGGTTGGTGGTAGTGCTTCCATATTTCACATGTATCAAACACCTTTCTTTGGTTTACCCGATAGCAGAACTGTTCAACTTTGCCTTGGATTTTACCCTACCTTTTAAAAACCTTTTTACAAGCTACAAGCCTGCTTCACCATTTCAGTAAATACTCGGTAATCCCCGATTATATTTTCGTCTATTATAGATATAAATGAATGTGAAAACGACCCTTGCCATGGACATCAATGTGTTGATAGAGTAAAGGGGTATGCTTGCCAATGCAGTAATGGTTACCATGGCAAAAACTGCGAAATAAAACCCGATTTATGCAAGCATCAGCCTTGTAAAAATGGTGCTACCTGTGCAAATACAGACCAAGGAAACTACACGTGTTTTTGCATTCATGGCTTTAAAGGAATAAGATGCGAAAAGAAAATAGGTAAAAAAAAATAACAATTATCATTGTATTTTCAATAAAATCATTACCTTATTTTGCTCTTCATTGCTTTGAATTAACATAAGTATAAATAGCTGATAATTAAGAAATTGATTCAAGTCTATCAATAAATGTCTCATTTAAACATGTGAAAAGTATGTTCAGTTTTATATGGTTTTCTACCTTTTACTTAGTGAACGGGGGATGGAGTTCGTGGAGCCAGTTTTCAGAGTGTTCCGTTTCTTGCAATGGTGGAACGAAAGTCCGTACTAGAGTGTGTAATAGCCCTTCTCCTGATCCCGAAGGAATGCCTTGCAATGCCTCTGATGCTATAGAGCATGTGTCTTGTAATACAGAAAAATGTCCCTGTAGGTACCCACAAACGTATTTTTTAATATATACGATTTCGGTAAACAATATCTGAACATAATCCAGATATTTCATTTTTTTCACTTAATTGCAGCTTGTTCACATCTACGGAGAAGCTTTGGAAATGTTCCTCATTGCCGGGATACATCTGATGGTCATAAGGTATGCACAGTCACTTGCAGACTGGGGTATGCCTTTGTTCCCGGACACATTCCGTTACCCGAGTATGTTTGTGGGAGGAACACCTCATATAAATGGACGGGTGAACCTCCTGCTTGTGGAAGTAAGTCGGGTTGTATTTGGAATGACTTATGAATGCTGTTAGGATACAATTATTTAAGAAATGAAGCTAATTCAACTTTTGTTATACCATTTAACATAACTTGGTTTCGCAGTTTATATAGCGTAAGCTACCACAAGTTATGTTATATTGTATAACATAAGTTGAAATAAGCTTCATTCCTTATAATTTAAGTTCAGTGTAGACAATGAGACAAATTTTCCTCTAGTAAAAGGCTTCATATTTAGCATATTTTAAAAGTAGCGTCAAGCGAAGTAATACATGTACGTTTTTGACGTACCTCATTGTGACGTACGCAAGTTATGTTATACAAAATTGATGAAATCTTTTACCCAATCAAATTAAGTGTTACAACTAAAATTAAATTATTGATATGTTCTTCAACCAAATACAATAATTCTTATAATTGATGAGTCGAAGTTGCAAAATGAAACTTTAAATTTTTTTTCAAATTTAAGCCCTAAATTTATTTTTTGTACAACAAATTTTATTCTATGCATATTGATATGCATGGACGATGGTTCAAGATTCTTTGCTTGCTTGCTTACTTGATTGTTTGACGTTCGAGAATGTTTTACTCATATGGAGAAGCCTTTGAAGTTCTACAAACGGTCTTGATATAGATAAATTATCCTATATCTAATCATCATATTTATTTTATTTTTGCTTTATATAACAATCATTGAATTGCAATTGATCATTAATATCTTTTAATAAAAGTAGATGATTTTTGCACAATATAGATGCATGGTATACATGTGTATAATAATTGTTTTTTAGATAGTAAAATTAAAATACTGCATAAGTATAAAAATATTCATTTAAATCTAAATTCAGTATCCAAATTAACAACAGTCATGGCTAGTGTTTTTGGCTATTTGATAATTTTCTGAATATAGTAATACATGTTTTGTTGCTTAGTTATTTATACAATGTCATATCACCTGAACAATCTTCAAATGAAATAGATTGAAAGAATTATTAATTTATATTTCCATTTCTGTTTTTTTTCTCTGTGATAACTGTTTGAAAGTTGGGGGAAATTATTTCTTGATAATTCTGCCGGAATGTAAATTAGGCAGGTCGATAGGTCAGCAGCTAAGGAGGCCTAATACGCATGCAAATCTCGTGCGCATCTGTCTCTGTATCTGACGCTAAGGAAGCCAAATATGCATGTAAATCTCGTGCGGCTGCCTTTGTGTTTGACGTCAGTGTGCGAGGACTATTGAAATTGGCATGGAAATTCTCGTGTAATTTAAATCTGTTAGTCTACATTTTTAGCTCTTCTGAGCCAAAGGCTCAAAGAGCTAATGCTATGGCCATTTGTGCGGTGTGCGGTGTGCGTCGTGCGGTGTGCGGTGTGCGTTAACTTTTTAGAATATGGGCCATAACTCAAGAACCCCTTGGCCAATCAGTGTCAAATTTGTCACAGGGTATCCTTGGCCCAAGGGCTACCATTCATACTAAAATAAGGGTTGGGACCCTAAAACAAGGGGAGATAATCAGGAAAACAAAACCAAAAGTACTGGTTGCAAAAAAATCTTCTTCTCCAGAACCACCAGGCAGATTTTCACCAAACTTACAAAAAATGATCAGAATATGTTGAAGATTAAAAGTTGTTCAAGGCATGACCCTGGAACAAAGGGCCTCAAAGGGGTCTCAAGGTCACTTCAAAGTTGACCTAAATTTACAATTAATGAAAATGTCTATATTTTGCTTACTATAAGGACTAGGATCATCAAATCTTGTAAGTTGATGCATCTTAGGACTTCACATCATGTTAACTCAAAAGTAGGTCACGGGGACCTACTTTTTTAATTTTGCGGGCATTTGTTTTCAAGTGGATTTGAAGGCATATTTTGGACACTTTAAGGCCTATGATCATCAAACTTTGTCAGTTGATGCATCTTGGGTCCTTAAACAACGTCAACTTAAAAGTAGGTCACCATATCCTACTTTTTGAACTTTATGACTTATCCTTTTTAAAACATTTCATCCCATTATTTCAGACAATGAGAGGGTTAGAATCATCAAATCTTGTAAGTTGCTGCATCTTGGGACCTTAAAACACATTTAAGAAAAAGTAGGTCACTGTGACCTACTTTTAGAATTTTGCAGGCATTCTTTTTTCAAATTGTTTAAAAGGCATATTTTGATTACCTTCAGACCAACGATCATCAAACTTGGTCAGCTGATGCATCTTGGGACTCTGAAAAATGTCGACCAAAATGTAGGTCACTGTGACCTACTTTCGACATTTTATGGCTAGATTTCAGTATCTTAGGTATTTATTGGCTTAGAATCATCAAACTTTGTGAGTTGATGCATCTTGGGTTTTCAGAGAGTGACGACCAAAAATTAGGTCACTGTGACCTACTTTCGACATTTTATGGCTATATTTCAGTATCTTAGGTATTTATTGGCTTAGAATCATCGAACTTTGTGAGTTGATGCATCTTGGGTTTTTGGAGAGTGACGACCAAAAATTAGGTCACGGTGACCTACTTTCAATATTTTATGGCTATATTTATGTATCTCCAATACTTATCGGACTAGAATCATCAAACTTTGTCAGTTGATGCATCTTGGGTTTTCGGAGAATGTCGACCAAAAAGTAGGTCACGGTGACCTACTTTTGACATTTAATGGCTATATTTATGTATCTCTGGTACTTATCGCTTTAGAATCATCAAACTTTGTTAGTTTATGCTTCTTGGGTTTTCAGAGAATGTCAACCAAAAAGTAGGTCACAGTGACCTACTTTTGAATATCTCAGGTATTTATTGGCTTAGAATTATCAAACTTGGTCAGCAGATGCATCTTAGGCCTCTGATAAATGTCAACCAAAATATAGGTCACAATGACCTACTTCTGACATTTTATGGCTATATTTAAGTATCTCCAGTACTTATCGGATTAGAATCATCAAACTTTGTCAGTTGATGCATCTTGGGTTTTCGGAGAATGTCGACCAAAAATTAGGTCACGATGACCTACTTTTGACATTTTATGGCTATATTTAAGTATCTCAGGTACTTATTGGCTTAGAATCATCAAACTTTGTTAGTTTATGCCTCTTGGGTTTTCAGAGAATGTCGACCAAAAAGTAGGTCACGGTGACCTACTTTCGACATTTTATGGCTATATTTAAGTTTCTCTGGTACTTATTGGCTTAGAATCATCAAACTTTGTCAGTTGATGCATCTTGGGTTTTCCAAGAATGTAGACCAAAAAGTAGGTCAAGGTGACATACTTTTGAATATCTCAAATACATATTGGCTTAGAACCTTCAATCTTAGTTTGTCTATTAATGCATCTTGAGTCCTCAGAAAACTTCAATCTTAAAGTAGGTCACCGTGACCTATTCATGTTTTTTTTTATAGCTTTATTAAAATATCTTCAGTCCTATTTGGCTAAGAATCATCAAACTTTTTATCAGTTGATGCAACTTGGGTTTTAGGATACTAAGGGTTAGAGGCTTCAAATGCAATTGATAGGTTGTACAATTTATCAGAAGAGCGATTCAAGGCCCTTGGGCCTCTTGTTAATATCTAAGTCTACAATTTTATTTCACAATGAAATGGAAATATAAGGAATCACTGTCTAGTTATGAGAGTATGCCAGGGACATCAACAATAGTGGAAAACATGGGATAATTTTAGCATAACAAATTATCCCATGTTCCCTACTATTGTTGATGCCCTGGCATACTCTCAAAACTAGACAGTGATTCCTTAAATAAAAATCATTATAGATCGAACACTGCTCACTTTCATTAATCCGACAAACAAGACACTCCGAAATCAGTTAAAATATTGATGAGGGGTGACATCAAGGAGCGCAAAGTCTTAGAAAATTGTCAGAGTTAAATATGATCTACACGTTCTTGACATTTTTTCCAGGGGTTGACGTTCCTGAACAGATTTCCACAATAACTATAGTGTCCTATAAAGATCCAATAGCATGTGACGAAGCATCCAAAGCTTCAGTGAATCTCAAAGAGAAACTGGAAACATCCGTACAGTGTGCAAAAAACAAAACATGCATTGTATCTGTGGAGGCAAAGGGTACAAAACAACCTTAAATTATGATAACATATTTAATATTACATGTGCGTGTATACTAGATAAAGATGGTTTGCAATAGAACTGCATAGTATAGTATGTTTTTTTTTATTATAGAGTGCTCCTCAACTAACAGAAAGAAAAGGGCAGCATCTACTCAGTCTCAAGAAGTTACGTTAACCACACCTATTGGTGAAAAAATTGACGTTCAGAACATTGCTCAAACACAACAAAGTATTTTTTTATTTCCTAAATATGGAATAAAACAAAATAAATAAAATTAAGAAATAACAAATAAAAACAAAAGTAGACAAAAGTTAGAAATAATCTGTATTTTAAGCCTCTTGCATAGTCTACATTCATTTTGGTATTAAAAGTCATTTTCTCGTGTATTCGAGCTATTGGATTATACAATAGATATAGGTTTGTGTTTTAATTATGTCTTTTTTGCAGATGGGCGCAATTTACCTTTTTATCAAACACATTTGATTTAATGACATACATTTTTTCTCAAAACTATGACTTCTTCTTTCTTATCGTATCTGAGATGATTCGGCTAGGTTCAAAATCTAGTTCAAAATTTCAAAAGAATTCATAAACTTTACTTCATATTTTCTCTTCATGAAGTCTTCAAATATTTTCGCTTTTAAATGTTTATAATAGGCTGTGAAAAAGACATTGTGGAAGGACGTTTACCAAAATGTTAAATTGCTACGAAAGTAGCCAAAATAAAAATTGACCCATATTATCTTTTCTGTATATTCAGCAAACGATGCAGCCAAAAAATACATCATTAGTGTCTCGGAGCTTGAATATTCTGTACAACAACTGAACACATCGAACGACATGTTGAATCTGATTGTTGATGGAAAGATATATATTGCTACTGGTAAAACTACCAGATCAACGATCCATTGCCCAGATGGTCAGGGAAGAGTACTATTTTTCTGTGGTAAATTGCAGTTTTTTATAAGTTTAATTTAAGCACCACACATTAAAAATTAACAAGTTGTGATACCTATTGACACAAAGAGGTTTACATAATTATTATGATTAAAACAACAACTCTCTACCTTAGATTTATGATTATTTTACTTTCTTCAACTTCAGAAAAACAAAATTACTGCAAAAAAAAAAACTTTTTCCTAAATATACCGGTATGTACATGTACTTGGTCATATTTCTTTGCTGCACAAAAACATTTTATAACACTTCAGTCAATAATCAAAAGTCAATGCCACCCAAAATTTAAAAAAATCAAATCATACAGGTTCATTTTGCTTTTATGTACAAATTATATGTATTCTATCAAAAGCCAGGTATTGTAGAGGTCTCGTGCCCTTAAAATATTCTTTCAAAAATATAAGTTTTTTTCAACTAATGTTTGACAGCGGACTGTCCTCAGGGAACACATTCTTCCTCTGGAAAATGTATTCTGTGTAACCTGGGAACTTACCAGGATGAAGCTGGTCAGACAACTTGTAAGCAATGTCCACTAGGAACTACTACTAACTATGTTGGAAGCCAAAGCCAGCTAGACTGCATTGGTAAATATCTAACTAGTAATTCTTTTGAAAAATACGATTGTCTCATCGTTAGTAGGGAAAAAATAAAGTTGATTTTTTGTGCTTCTTCTCAAGATATCAATAAAACCCCTGTCACACCAGGGCTGCGTCCTCACGGCGACTGCACGGCGTTCTCAAAAAATGCAAAACGCCGAGGTGATCGCAGTAGAGTCTCCTACAGCGCCGTGACAACGCGGCGAGATCTCCACTGAACGCCGTAGGATCGCGTTGGGTCTCCTAGAACGCCAGGGGACGGCGATCACTTTGGGCATGCACAAAGTACGCGCCGTGGGATCGCGGTCTGATAAGAACGCAGTAGAAACGTAGTATGATCGCCGTAGCAGCGCGGTGAGATCTCCAACAACGTAGTGGGAGCTCCGTATGAACGCCGTGAAGACGCACATGATCGCGGCACGAACGCAGTGATAGTAGACTGCGCTTCCATGGAGACCTCATGGAGATGTCGTGGAGTCCTTGGAGATGTCACTGCGTTTCTATCGCGTTTTTACGGCGCTTCTAATGAGATTTATCGTCTTGTGATTTTTTCGACTGCGATTACACGGCGACAGCACGGAGTTGTCACTGCGATCATTGCGCTCCCATGGCGTTTCTACAGCGTCCGTTGACGATCACAATGCGCTTTCACGGCGTTGTTAGAGCGTTGTCAGCCAGCTCACAAAACAAGAGCAATGATATCATATTTGATCAGCAATAATTCCAACGTATGTTGCACTAGGAGCATTTAAGTGAAAAAAATGGAAGATAAAATTACACCAGAACTTGTTCTGTTGTTTCAATTTTTGTAGAAAACTTTTCAGTGTTATTTTTTTTTCATTATTCACAATAAAATCAAAGAAAATCTAACAACACATTTGAACCGATAAAATTGAAAAAAAGGAGTTTAATCATAAAACTATTAATAATTTAGTACTAAATTATTTAAATAAAACATTTTTTAATTATTAAGAATATTTCTTGGCATGATTAGAAGTCTTTTCATCGTGTAACTTGAATCTTTAAACAAAAATGTTTCACATTCCTTCTGAATATATATCAATGAGTATAGAACGCATTGTAAACGTATTGTGAACGCAGCCAGCGCAGTGAGAACGCCGTGAACACGAGGTGAAAACTCCTAGCACGCCGTGAAAACACCGAGGGACGCCATGACATCTTCATATTGTGAAAATTTTACAGAAATTTGTGCAATTTTCCTGCGATTCCACGGCGCTTTTAAAAATTTAACAACGCCGCAATGACTCCGTGTGAACGTAGCGTGGTGTGACAGGGCCTTTTAAACGGAAAAGCACAATTATCACAGTCTAAACTTTCAAAAAGTACCTTTTTCAATAATTTAAAAAACCATTCACGGTAGCTCAGTCGGTAGAGCTCTCACTTCATGATCAGGAGGTCGTGAGTTCGAATCTTGGTCGCAACTAACCTAAGTCGATTAAAAAAACTGGTAGTAATGATACAAATGGAGATAACTAATAGTATTCAAGATCAAAGTCCGTAAAACAATACAAAATAGGAGCAGACACGGAACTCCTAAACATTAGTGATGAGATCAGGTGCCATGGAGGAGTGAACATCCCCTGCCGACCGGTAACATCCGCCGTGTGAACCTAGTTATGATCGGGAAATAACGGAAAACATCTTCGTCAATTGTAGCAACTCTTCCTTCGCCGTGCACTCCGCACTTTGAAGTGAAAGTTGCAGGTCCCTCGGATGAGACCTTAAAAACCGAGAGCCGTGTCGCAGCAGACGTTGACACGATAAAGATTCCTTACTGTTCGATGGCAGTTAGTGCTGAGTAAAGATCAAAATTTGAAGCCTTTCAACTGTCGTATCTATATTTAAATATATATAATTATGAAGATTATAGTTTTCTAACATTACAAGCAATGCATTTAGATGCAATCTTTCAATTTATTATAAGCTGGATGAAGCGATGAAGCGAACAGTAACTATCTTCATAAGGCTGTATTTCTGTCTCCTGCCAAGCACTAAGCATTTGAAAAAAAGTTTTTTCATTGTTATTGACTTATTACAAATCTTTCATGACAATGTTATTGAGACAACATTATAACATTTCCTATGAAAGCTTTTCGTGTATTTTCTTTAAAATACTGCATTATTTACTTGTAACATTTGCTTAATATTATCAACATTCTTATCATTTCCTTTGCAGTGAAGAAAAAATCGACAGAAAAGAAAAAATCATCCCAACATAACCGTAAGTCTTTTATGCCTAGTGAAGTAAACCGTTCATCATTTTCTTCTCTAGAATTAGAAAAAAAAATATTTTTACGTTTTTATGGCGGGTGTGACCTGTTGACAGGGGATGCTCCTCCATGGCACTTGATCCCACATCTGATGCTCTGCTCCTATTTTATATTGTTTTATGGAGTTTTGATCTTGAATACTGTTTGTTATCTCCATGTGTTTCAAATATGTATATTTATGTCTTCCAATGCTAATCAGGCTCACCGCAGCTAGTTTTTGCTAACTATATATAAGATTGACTAAAACTCGTTCTTAGAGATGAATAATGTCATTTATTCAAATGACGAAGTCAAAGACAATAAATTTCACAAACAAAAGAGGGGATCAGACTCACATGCTCAGATTGTAAATTACGCAGAATATAAAAATGTCTGATCCCCCAAAAATGATTAGAAAAAAGTACATTTAAGACAAGAAAATCAACCTGTATATTGTAGATGATGGAAGTCAAACGTTGATAATTATTGCCACTACCCTAAGTTTGCTAATTTTCTGTGGATTCTCCATTGGTGTTGGTATATATGGATACAAAAGATATCAAAGGTATTTTTCTACTACTTTTATCCCTTTAAGTTTAGTTGCATAGAGTATATTCTTTTTAAAGCAACATGCATGTACAAGTTGCGATAGCAATTTCCAATATGCGTATTTTTCAGTGTTTGTAATCATCATATTTCTTTTCATTTGATACTTATGAGCAAATTGAGGCTATCTAAGAATTGAAATCACATGTACGAATGAATGCCTTTTTGTAAGGATTAGAGGCCTCTCGTCTTATTTATTGTCTTTCCATTACTGAAACTTAAGTTGATTCATAATCCATTTCTGTTTTATTTGTCTCGTTACAGATACAGACTGAGAAACAACCAGAAAATGAACGGAAGTTGGGCATCTTTAAGTATGGTGTCTCCGAGCGAATTCAGTGCTCGTGATTATGTTCCACCATTAATGGAATCCAAACCGAAGTTAACAATGTGAAATGAATTCGGATGTATAAATAATATGCTGCTGAAAATTATATTTATTGTTTAGAATAACATTGGAAGTGATTATGTTTGATTTGTTTGTGTGTTTTTTAGACTTGGAATATTAAAATTCCTCGTGTGATGTAAAAAATATTGCACCTTTAGCAAAAAACTTATCAATTTCACGAATCATTAACTGAATATAACTTTTTGTAATTAGCTATATGATTGAGAGATATTTATGCAACATGAGGTCTATGAAGGATATTTGCAACAAATAAACTTTCTGTAAATGTGGGTTGCTTTAATTGCAGGAATAATCAGCTTTCTAATGGTAACTTTACCTAAATTAATTTCTTTTTAATTTCCTTATTTAAATCTTTGTTTTTGACGAAGCACGAATTTGTTTTATTAGGCGAGGGTCATTAGGATTTCTTGAATCCCCATAAGACTTTTTTGCCTTTTTCTGTAGCCAATATGTATATTTTATCTATCTCCCAGCCCTTTACAGTTGTCTCTACAGGCAATAAACTCGCTTGAAGTGGAATTTCAGCAATCTAACAAATAATTTTAATCAAGCGTGTTTACCACTTGTAGAAACAACTATAAAGGATTGGGAGGTGGATGAAATATATACATACTGGCTAGGGAATGAAAGGTAGTTGATTGACTGATGCTGGAAAGTGGAGAATTCTCCCCAAAAGTGCGCAAAAAATATTGCGCCGTAAATTGCATTACGGTATCTGTAGCGTTGTGGTCAAAGACTAATATATAAAAAACCATAGCTACAGTTCTGTAGCTCTCACAAGGGGAGATAATCGAGAAAAGACAAAAATAAGGTAGGGACATTATAAAAAAATTCTCAAGAACCGTTGGGCCAGAGATGCTGAAACCCATGTCAAAGCATTCTTGGGTAGTGGAGATTCTAAATTGTTCTTATCACGATCCTTGGATTATAGAATTGGGCGACAATAAGGAATCAAATGTATATTGAAATATACGCTGTGTATTTAATATATAAGTTGATTAGGAAGGCATGACCCTAAGGGTAGGGCGGTGCCACAATAGGGAATATGTAAATAGTTTTACATCAAAATATAAAGAAAACATCTGCTTCTCAAGAAAAACTGGACCCGAAAAGCTTAAACTAATGTGGAAGCATCATGGGGAAGTGTAGATATTAAATTGTTAAAATCATGACCCCCTGATTTCTCAAATAATAGCCCCAGGAGGTAGGGCGGGGACACAGTAGGTAAGTAAGTAGTTACAAAGGGGGAAATCTGGTGAAGAACTGTAAGACCATAGTTACTCAGGTGATAGATGTGGTCCATGGATCCCTTCTTTTAAGAAACCTTTAATCGTGGTCATAACTTTTGAATAGTACCGGGTATGTGCCTTGGCTTTCATATTTCAAATGGTCCAAAATTGTGTAAACATAGTTTGTTTTCAAGCCTTCTGTAGGACATGATCGGAAGAGAAATACATATGGAGAATCGATGAGAAATGTACCATGCCTATTGATAACAACTATGATAGCCTAGGGAAGACTAAATGATAAAGTATGCTATATAGTCCTTTTTAACTGCATTATGATTATAAAGAGAGAATGAAGAAAGTCCTTTTGTAAGTAATGTCCTGAATGTAAGTAAGACTAGAAATATGTCCATAGGACATACATGCCCCGCCGAGGGTATATCAGTAAATGCAACATGAAAATTTGAATTTGTGTAATGAAATTTCAGAATATCTTGAACAGTGATGCAGTTGTATTGCTTACATCAGTATGTATCACCATATGAAGTTTAACACTAATTTAAAAAAAAGTGAGGTCAGGGTCAAAGAAAAGGCCAATGTAAAAAAATATTGATGCAGTTGAAAAGCTTCATCATTATGTATCAGCATATGATGTTAAAAAAATATTATGGATGGTCTCTTTAAAACTGACTTAATCACAATTTGATTAAAGTGAGTTCAAGGTCAAAGGAAAGGTCAAGGTAAAAAAACTTGATGCAGTTGAATAGCTCTCATCAGTATGTATCAGCATATGAAGTTTGACACTTATTTAGGAAAAGTGAGGTCAAGGTCAAAGGAAAAGTCAAGGTAAAAAACTTGATGCAGTTGAATAACTCTCATCAGTATGCATCTGATTCAACATATGAAGTTTGATAAAAATACCTTGAATGGGATCTTTAAAACTGACCTGAACACTCATTTAAAAAAAGGAAAGGTCGAGGTCAGAAAATGTTGATGCAGTTTCATAGCTCTCATCAATATCTATCAGCATATGAAGTTTGATGAAAATATCTTGAACAGTTTTTTTAAACTGAGCTTTGGACTGAGCTAAACGCAAAGTGTGACGGAAGGACAGCTAGCCGGAAGGACAGCTAGACAGTCAGCTAGACGGAAAGACGGAAGGACGGAAAACGGACAAGACAAACACTATATGCCCCGGCCATATTCATGGCGGGGCATAAAAAATCCCCAACGAGTATAATAAAGCATACATTAAGCCGATCTTAATTGGCTAATGTTATATGATATAAAAATTATACTAATCAGCAGTTGGCAGTGATCGATGTAGCATCGTTCTTAAGGGAAGGGAGGGCGGGGAAAAATTAACTTACATGAAAAAATAAACTTGACACCCCCCTCTCAAAAAAAAAGAAAATTGTCTAAACTCGAAAATCTTCTTTCGTGTGGGTCCGGGGGGAGGGGGGTCCAACTTCTTTAAGTACCAACTTGTTTTACTCAATATTACCCATGTTAAATTTAAAAAAGTGGAGGGGGCAACGGATAGAACATTCAGTGCCCCCCCCCCCCCCGGATGCTTCGTCTCTGATTGAAGTTCGTGTATCTTGCTATGTTTTTCATCTATTCAATAAACTACGTCTGTGCATTTTACATGTCCGTACATTAGTATGTACGAAGAGGATGAGATATTCTAGTATGTTACACTGTTACACAGTGATTGGTCTGTTATTGTGAAATTCACAATTCAAAACCAACTTCCTGAAAATATAAAAATACTTACCCTGTTTAATATTTTTTTTATGTCATAATGTGCCATTATAGTAATCTATTTAAAATTTTAGGAGATAAAGCTGTCACAACACCCAGGATCAAACGTGATCATATGTCCGTGACATAACAAGCGAAAAATTGTTCCGCTTCATTTAAATTGGATAGAGAGATAAAAACATGGCCACGTTGTCAAACAATATACCATGAAAACAGGACAGAAGTAAATCTTAATTCGTGCATGATAAACAAGGTAAGATTTTATGAAAATAATTCAACATGGGAAGCTATAGATCTTATGTGATAAATGTCCGTGAAAGTCACAAGATAATCTGCTGGAATATGACCATGACCGATTTCTTAAGATTTTGCTTGTCGTTAATATTGCCGAAAGCCGGAACAACAAACGTAAGTAATATTAA